CCCGCCCCCTGCTGTCCCGCGTGTGTTCACCACGGAAACGGGCAGGAGGCGCCTGGACAGGGTCCCTCAGGAGCCCTGACCCCCGGCCTGGGTCTGGGACGTTCTCTTAGGGTTTTTCCACGTCAGACCCGCGGCCGTGTCCCTCCACTGCCTCCGGGCTTCTTTCCATTCAGGAGACGTCAGCTGGTGGCACCCGTGGCGTGGTGTGGCATGGTGTGGCGTGGCGCCCGTCTCACTGCCTCACGTGGGACCCGAGGCTCTGCCACGGCCGCTGCCCTCACACCTTCGTTCCCACAGGGTCACCCAGGCCTGATCGGACTCATCGGGCCTCCGGGCGAGCAGGGCGAGAAGGGCGACCGCGGCCTCCCCGGCCCGCAGGGCTCCTCCGGCCCCAAGGGAGAGCAGGTGGGTGAGGCGGCCCCAGCCAGTGCCTGGGGGCAAGGGCATCAGGACCCGTGGGCTCTCTGTGCCCCGGGCAGGCACTAAGGCCAGGACGGAGGCAGCCTCTGCCCCCCCAGTGCATACGGGAACGGCCGGAACCCAGCGGTGGCCGCACGGGCAGACATTCCCGCCACCTCTCTGCAGGAGGTGGTGGGCGATTCTCAGGCCGGGACCTGGGGACCTGGGGACCTGGGGACGGCCGGCCTCCTGGCTGGATCAGGCCCCGGTTCCACAGGGAGGGGCTCAGGGCCGGAGGGCAGCGGGAGGGGAGATGCGGACGTGGCCTGGACGTGCTGTGTGGGCGGGAACGGGGCTCTGTACCCCCTCGTCCTGATAACTGCATTTTCCGCTCCTCACAGGGTATCACTGGTCCTTCCGGCCCCCTCGGCCCCCCGGGCCCCCCAGGCCTGCCGGTGCGTATCTGGGAGGGTGTGGTCCCGGTTGTGGCTGGGAGGGCAGTGAGCAGCTCCATTCCTGCAGAATCTCTGGGCAAAGGGGAGGGCCCTGTGCAGCTGGGGAGTCAGGACAGTGAGAACCCAGAATGGGGGCCCGGGGTGGGGGTCCTCACTCCCATGGGGTTCCCAGCCACAGAGCACGGCTGCTGCTCAGCCAGGATTTATTTTTTTAATGATTGTTTCAACTTTTTTTTAAATTTTAAATATATATTTTTATTGATTTCAGAGAGAAGAAGGGAGAGGGAGAGAGAGAATCATCAATGATGAGAGAGAATCATGGATCGGCTGCCTCCTGCACACCCCACACTGGGGATCGAGCCCGCAACCCGGGCCTGTGCCCTGACCGGGAATCGCACCGTGACCTCCTGGTTCATAGGTCGATGCTCAACCACTGAGCCACCCAGTCGGGCAATACCCAGGCCTTTAAAGTCATTCCCCTTGGCCTGGAGCCTGTGCCTGCCCATCCCCATCAGCCTCCGCGCCACCTGGGCCAGGGCCTGGGTCCCCATGGCTCAGGGGCCCCCGGCTGATGCGGGACCAGCTGGGCTGCGGCTGCCTGTGGGGCGGAGGGCACTGCACCAGGGGCTAGGCCAGCTCGCCCTCTCGCCCTCGCCCTCCGCTGCCTGCATGTGATTCCGGCTGAGGGGGGTTGGGAGGCCGACCCTGGTGGACAGGACATTCCCCACCTCTGTGGTGAGCACCAGCCACCCCCACCCTCCCCACCTCCCAGTCCATGAGTCCAGTGTAGGCTCCTGGGAAGGGGGACACGGATGTAAGAGGGGTGAAGACCAGGCCCAGCCCAGAAGGACTGGCGTCAAAGGTGGGTGCCCAGGGGTGAAGGAGCCTCCTGCTCGCTAATGCCCCGCCCCCCTCTCCACAGGGTCCTCCCGGTCCCAAAGGTGCTAAGGGCTCCTCGGTAAGTGGTGTGCACCCTGCAGGGGCCCCGTCACCGGGGCGGGGGGGGCGTGCACCCTGCATGCGTCCCACCCTGGGCCCCCTGCTCCCCTGGCTCACATGGGTTGCGCTGCTCCCCTACTGTCCTGTCCTGAGCTCACTCCAGCCTGAGGGGGTGGCTGTGTCTCTCTGCCCAGCAGGAAGGACCTGGTCCCCCTAGCTCCCATCTCGGGGGTGATGGAGGGGCGAGGGGAGCTGTCACCTCCCTGCATGTTAGACCTGCCCCGTCCTCCACACGGGCTGTCAGGGACCCCAGGGAGTCCGGGTCCCCGCAGGCCCCCGTGGTCAGAGTTGGTTCTTCTCCCCCCACCAGGGTCCCACTGGCCCGAAGGGAGAGGCAGGCCACCCAGGACCCCCCGGCCCACCGGTGTGAGCAGCCTGAGGACGTGCCCGTGGCGGGGGGGGGGAGGGTCCCCTAGCGCTGAGGGCGCCGTGGGAAGATATGTCTGTGCCGCTCAATTTCCAAACCAACCTTATGGAGTGTGACAGTGGCAGGGCGGGCCTTCCCTGGGAGAAGCCAAGGGAATGTAACCCAGGCGGGCTCCCTGGGGGAGGCAGAGAGAGAGACAGACAGACAGAGGAGATGAGAGACAGACAGGGAGAGAGGAGAAAGCATGTGTGTGTGCACACATATCTGTGTGCATCCCTGTGTGTGTGCATATGTGTGCGCATGTGTGCATGCCTGTGCGTGTGTGTGCATGTGGGGTGGGCGCAGTAGACAAGGCCCTAAGGTGCAGGCAGCACAGCCTCTGGATGCCTGTCCTTAGCTGGGCCTCCTGACGCAGCCCCAGGAACACAAGGCTCGGGCCTTGCCAGCCTCCTGCAGCCCCACTGTGTGCAGCCGCGTCAGGTGCTTTGAGCCTCGCTGAGGACAGACGGGAACCAGCCTGGGGCGCGCGTCCGAGGGCTGGCTGCAG